GCTCTTTCTTTCAGACACCTTAGAGATAATGGAAGCAGGAGATACGGAGCATGTAACCTCGGGCAAAGCGTATTTACTCACCTGAAGTTACGAGCTTACGTAGTTGTGCCCTCGCTGACTGGTAGACCCTTCAGCATGGACCGACCGACGTCATTTGGCTATCATTCGTGTTTAGTCAAGCAAAAGTATTGCAAAAAGTGGAGTCAGAAGCATTCTGTAACCTTGTCTCGGTACGGAGCCAACGGAGAGGAACGCGTGGTTTCTTCGTCGCCTTACGGACTTGATAGGCTGGCTCAACTCTGCACCACCACGTATCATGTTCATGCTGAGACGTCCAATGTTGGCATTGCGATTAATTTGGTGGCCGATGGCAGGCGAAGACACTTCTCATGATATTGTTAGCATCGAAGCTAAAACATGCAATTATAAACCATTATTAGTCGCTATGCTGAAGATAACTGATATTAAACATGCCAGGAGGTGCCGCCTAAACAATGATATCAGGCAATTATCAGGACGTATCATGGGAATGCTCGACCTTTTAAAGCAGTGACCGTGGTAACGAGTGAGCAAGAGGTACTGAAGCTGTTCTGCTTCACCAGAAGAACTTATAACGCCAAAGCGCAGTAGCCCAACGCCTTTCTTCCTCACATCCAATCAAACTCAGGCCAGCTGGCATGTGAAGCCAGCACAGCCAGCACAGCTGTCAGGACGTGATGCCCGTCCCAGAGTTTCTGTCCACACAGCGGAAGCGGCGCTATCTCGCTGCGCCGAGAGGCCGGCAACCGCTGACACATGCTGCACGTGTGGTTAATCACGTCCTTTGCCTCTCACGGTGATCAGTCTGTGCAATTGTCGTGTCCTCAACGAAGCTAGGCAAATTGGGTTTTGATGAGCCCGGCCGATCATCCGGGCGCGCCGTCCCGGTGGGCGGTGAGAGTGCAGATTACAGATTGGCACATCTGAGCGTGACCGATGTAAGGCCTGAGAAGAGGACCCGCAGCGTCGTTATTCCAGCTAAAGTGGCGTCGCAATGACGTCGGAATCCTCAAGTGACGTCGCGATGACGTCAGGATCCTCAAGTGACGTCGCGATGGGCGCTGCTTGACGCTAGCAGTCGAAGCACCCTCAGCCCCGAAAGTCGATCGAAGAGACATCACGGGCGCTACCAAACGAAGCAGGCCGCGTGCGTAGCATGCCAGACATGAGAGCCAAACTGGCTGGCCACTGCCTGTAACTGTCGCTGTCGCTATCACTGGCACGTTGGAGAAAAACGCGCCAATCGGGTGCTATTAGAGAGCGTGCTTTTGGAATTAGCCGCTTCGATGATAGCTCAATGGCCGCCACCCGACCTCGCAGTTCACCCGCGGCATAACAAGCTCCGAGTGAGGAGTGTCGCCGCGGTCTTTCCACTTTCTCCTTGCTAAAAACGTCGCCTGCGCCCGCTCCTATTACCTCATTAGCGCAGCACGCAGTCCGCTGCGTTCTTCTCAATCCGCCCCCCGTTATCACTGGAATGGACGCGTCATTGTCCGCGGTGTGGATGCATGGCGCGAATGATACGTATTACTGTAATGACCGGTAAGCACGGCTTTGATTATTGTTTGCCTCGCGTTTCCCCTGCGGTGGCTCCAACCTGAGAAAAGATCCAGCTTGGCGTCGGTGAGAGCCGAGAGCCTTGGCCTGCAAAAGCGCCATCCGCAGCCGAGCTGACCGTCACGGTCGAGAGCTCCGAACCCGCTGCTCCATATACCGGCCGGATAGATGAACATGTCGGCGGCCATTTGTCGCCGCCCCCTGCGACAAAGGCCCGGGGAACGGCGTCTGACCGGCGCGATGGCCGGACGTCGGTCGGCGCCGACAGAGCGCCGTCGCTGATGAAGTGCCCACCGCCGGCCGGCCACTTTCACGGCTCGTCCGCCCTGTTGCAGTGTGACGGCCGCCGCGTCTTTCTGCTGATCCCGCCTGGCGTACTTGGGCGTGCTGCTGGGCGGTGGCGCGACGCCGCTGCCGCTGCTGGTGGTGCGGCGCTGGTGCCAGCCGCTGGTGCCCGTCCGCCGGTCCTGTCAGTGCGCCGTCTGTTTGCGTTGCAGGGTGACCGGCCTGACCCTGAGCACGTTGGCGCTGGCCGCGGCCGCCGCAGCCGGCCCATTCAGCGGTCACTTCACGCTGCTCCGGCCGGACGGCCAGACCGTGCAACACAGCTTCCTCCGCCCAGCCGCGCCGCCGTCGCGCCTGCACACCGTGCACCGGCCCTCGCCGGTCTACTTCATACACGTGACGTCGCCGACGCATGTCTCGCCGCCAGGTACGGCGCTCGCGCGGCGCCCCGCCGTCGCCACCGAAGCTCTCGTCCCGAGCGTTTGAGGACCGTCTGGCTGGTCGCTAGCGCCGGTCAGATTTCTTTATTGGAACGAGTTGGGTGATCCTGGGGTCACACCACACCGCGGTACTGGGCCTGGCAGTGTTTTTGAGCCCCGTCCCACCGGGCCGTAGTTCCTGCGGCCGTTACACGCCCCCGTCCGAGCAGCGGCGCCCGCCTGTACCAGACGCCGCCCGTGCTAGCCGCTCTGCTGTGAAGGGTGAATCCTGGAGGTGTCACGTGGCGGCTATTAGCGCGGGGCAACCCGCGTGACGCCAAGGTCGGACTCCGAGAAGCGACCGTGACGGGGCACCCGGCCGGCACCCTCTCCGTGACGTGATGCTGCTCCCTCTCTAGCACGTTATGTGTCACGCTCGCCGTCACGTGACGGCACACCCGCCCGTGACACGGTGTTTTATTTTCTTCGTGATGTTTAGCACCCTCTGTGGTCTTTACATCTTTTCACGCAGGCGGGAGTGAAGTGAAGCAGCATTCTTTCCGTTACGTGACGCTTGACATCCGCTCTGCGAAGTAATGATGCGGTCAGTCCTTGACGAGATGCTGCACCGTCTCCACCAAGTGATGCTACATCCTCCCCATGACGTGATGCTACACTCTCTGTGACATCGTGTCATACGTGCGCCACTGTGGCGTCATTCTACACACTTTGGCATAATTCTGCACCTCCTCGTGATGTAATGCCGCACCATCCTCCGACGTGACGGTACTCCCTTTCCATGACGTGATCTTGTAGTGCGACACGGTCTTTGAGACATGGTTATGCTCACTCTGAGTGATGGGACAACACAGGCACGCAGCTCTGACAGTTGACACCACCAGGCACCAACATCTGATACCCAGTCTCCGTCGGAGAACGCGTAAAAGTGTTGATTTCGCACTCAGTTTTGTGAGGTTGGGTGGATCATCGTTCCTGTCGCTTGAACGGTAATCAAGCTGCAATCACTGAAATGGTTGCTGACTGTTAATTTCTGGAAAGTGGAGGCAGGGTACGGACATAACAAATAAATGCCTTTTTGAAGGCAAGAAGAAACATTTTCAACGTCCTTTTGCGACAGGCTGCGCCGAGACCGTTCTGGAGGTAGAAGTAACGAATTGTGTATACCGCGGGGAGGGGGGAGGGAGAGGGGGGGGGGGGGCGGTGTGAAGTCTGCCCTTGGCTTTGGTCGCGGCACAGTTATGTTGCGGCAAACGCTTAAAGGATGTGATCTCGGAAACGCAGACACCGCGTCGTCTAGGTGCTTCAGACATACATGCATTGTATCTCCGGGTGTCGCGTACTGCACTCATACATTCGTTTGCTCGCAGGTGTTGGCTTCATCCGTGACCCGCCAGTCCAGAATCCGTTCTTCACGGTGAACTTCCCCGCTAATGGTCACCCAAGCGGGCTCTTCCCGCTCACGGACCGCGCCGCGGCGGCCCCGCCAGACAGCGTCATCTCGTGGCTGGACGTCGGGGACAGGTACCATCACCAGTCGGCAGATGCCAGCACCGGCGGGATCGTCCCGGCTTCCACCACTCTGCTGCAAACTTCTGAGCATCCCGCCGGCCAGGGCGCTGCCAGAGTCCGCCGGCGCCGCGCGAAGATCGACTACTCTCTCTGGTCCAGCTGAGTTCGGCCGTAAGGCCGGCCCGTCATCATCTGACGACACTGGCTGCCACCGAGGACCGCGGTGTTCAGACTGCCCGAGCGCATGCGGTGCGTGCGTGCGCACGTTCGCCCCCAGCCGCGGAGATGCGTCGCTGCGCCCGAGCCCACCAGCCGAGCGTCCTGCCGGGCAGCGAAACTGATGTCTTTCGATCACAGTTGCCGATCAGCTCACCATTCGCTGCCGTTCTGTTGGAAAGGCAACGCTCGGAGGCAGAAAAGCTAGCTCACAATGGTGGTTACAGGATGACGCTTCGTTGCACCCGTTACGTCTTACGTATTTTGTTTACCGCGTCACGCATCGCTTCCGTGCTTTTCTCCCGCCATATCGTTGTCTGTTGAAATATGCATATATCGTGCAGGCCAAATCCCTTTTTCCCCTTCGGCACCGGAACAGTTCCGCGCTGAAAAAGTGCAAATTATATTTTCACAAGCGCCCAGGTTCATCAACGCAGCATGACATCCACTTCCGCCAAGCGACACAACACGTACCGAACCAATGACTAAAACTACCCAATGCAGCAGAAAGCGGGCCGAGGCTTCGGCAGCAGCACACGCTGATATTGAGCACAACATGGACAGCAACGGTGATGATGGACGGCACGTGGTGATCGTACGAGGGCGGAGAAAACAGAGCGTCACTGATACGACGACACGGGACGCCGGGCGACTAGACTCCGGACTAGATATTCCCACAGTGGGCACGATACTAGCGCCCACACGGCTAACGCGAGTCACTGGCCTACCGCCAGAGATCAGGGGTACCGGTCCGTGTCGCTGTTGCACAACCGGCGCGGGTGAGCAGCGCTGCGCCTCGGCGCGACGAACGTACCGGCCGGGCAGGTGACGCCACCGTGCGCCGTGACAGGCCCTCGCGCGGAGGGACAGCAGGCGAGCGGCCTGCCCCGGCGACGGTCCGCCGGCGGCCCGGACCTTACCGACCCCCCCCCCCCCCTCCCCCGCTGCTGCGCCGCCATCGCCAGGCGCAGCACGTGGACCCTAGAGGCACGGCAGTTGGCGGCGCGGCGAGCTAACATCGCAACAGCGGAGGCTCGACACAAATGCTTCAGCACAGTGCAGCCGCGGCAAATCAATATGCCGCCGTCACACACACACACACACACACACACCCGACCGCACGTCTACGAGAGAAAGCATGAGATGAACGGTGATTCTCGTCACAAACGGTCGCTCCTGCGGCGCACACACGTGTGATGACTTATGGTGAGCTGGTCCCCGGACTGCCAGCTGGCGGCGGGCGGCGCCACTGTCAGTACGAGCCGCCGAACGACAGGCAGCGCTAGCGTCGGCCCGCGCTGCCACCACCCCCGCAACGGCAGCCCACCATCCGCATTTTGTCCAGCAGGCTCTCCAGCTGCTTCACCTTCTTTTGACTCAGCTGGTTAGACGCAGAGAGCTCTTCAATCTTCTGATCCTTAACCGAGAACGCCTCTTTGATCCTGGGGAGTTCATATGTGTCATTTCCGTGATTTCACAACGTTTGCTAAAAGAGACGCGCAATTTACGTCAGCATTCCCACACCCTTCGAACTATGTGACGAATGCCTAACACGGTCCGAAACAGCACGAATGGCATCCGAGAATCAAAGACAGAGATAATGGATTGGTACTCACCAATTGTGGTAAAACCAGTGACCTCACCATATCAGATCGGACGTCCCAGCGCGAATTCTTAAATTCCCCACGATAATTAGAACCCACTCCATCATAACAGCACACCAGCACCGGTCAGAAACGTACACATCTGAGCATAATGTGTAGAACCACATCAACGCGAGGCAGAGAGAAATGTACACAACATGGTATAATACCGTGTTTAATCGGGCGGACTTCCGGCACATATTACAGTCGATCATTAAATGCTTATTTGAAGAATGTGTACTTCAACCAAAACAAAACTTGATGTGGTTGCAACTTGCGAACTCAGCCGTCACTAAAGTTAACAGATCACAGAAGCACTGGCGCTGCCTGACACGATACAGGGCTGCACAAAGGAACGCCGACGGGATGCGCACGCGGCCACTGACTGTTTGTGCAGCTCCTGGAGGTCGAGCTCGCGCTGCTCGTTACAGCGCTGGAGCTGGCGCTGCGCGTCGGCCAGCTCCGCCTGGTGGCCGTGCTCGGCCTCGGCCAGCCGCTGCTGCCACCTGTCGGCGGCGCGGCGCAGCTCGGCCACCTGACTCTGGAACTCAGCCTCGATGACGTCGCCGAGCTGCTGCTGCTCCTGCTGCATCAGTTCCGCCGTCTGCCGGGGGCGGGGCGGACGATGGTACGGCACGCCTCACGGTGTCTGGGTGTACTCCGAGTCCAGGACTCAGTCCAGTCCACGGTCAGAGTACGGGGACGGTCGAGCACGCGGCGACACCGCAGACACTGGCGCCGAGGTGCGAGTAGTGACGGCTGCGATTACAGACCAGCGGCACACGTGGTTGCTGAATGGATAGCGCTGTGCTTAAGAATGCAGAATGCACGGTGTACCTTGCACACAGAGGTGACCATTAAAGCACATTGCTTCTAAACCAACATATCTGAGGATAAGCCAAAGCACACAGACAGGTAATCACGCATGCAGGCATAGGAACGAAGTCAGCTTTCTGCCTTCGAGGACAATGCCCAAGGCAAGACAAAAGCCGAGGACAAAGCTAAGCCGAGGCCAAAGTCAGTGCCTTCGTATTTTTAAAATGGTAACCCGACGTCAAGGTCAGTGGTCTCGCAGTTTTTCAAACGTGAAACCAAATCCGATGGCAATGGCTTTGAACGTTGTACACGCAAAGCCGAAGCCGAAGCTAGCGGCTTCCACCTCGGAAACACGGGGCAAAAGCCAAATCCAACTCGTGCGGTAACAGGCGAAGCAGAATCTAGTGTGCTACGTCGTTGAATCGATTGTGCTCCCGTGAAGTAAAACCCCAATTGCAGCGAATAAAACACCACGGCAAGACCAAAGCCAGCAGTTCAACATCACGTACAACCGAAGTCGGCAATTCCTGCCAGGGTGGGAGACATGCCACGCCCTATATCCCAACCAGCTGAGTGCGTCGTAAAGCCCCAATGACAAGGACGAAGCCGAAGCCAGAGTCATGATGGAAAACTTGTCCCCAATCGAAGACAAAGACAGACGTTAAAATGGCCTGAAGCCTGAAGGCGAGACCTAGGCCGACCATCCAAAATAGCACGAAACCGAAACCGAAGCAAACCGTGGACAACGGCTCAAAGCCAGAGCCAGATCCGAGGGCATAGGAGAAAAAAAATGTAGCTTCGCAAAGCCGAGACTACCTTCGTTTCCATGCCTGCATGCATGTACACAAAATACATATTTCCATGTGTCGTTCGAGATCATATTCAAGGTACGTAGCGGTCCGAAATTATCCCGCTCGACGGCGATGGGCCATCTGACACAACACGCTGGAAAGCGACAGCCCGCAGAGCCTGCCATGTGCCCAGCACGACACCCCCCCCCCCCCCTCCCCCCCGAGCGGGCGGCCAGCCGCCTGCGCCAGACGTCCAGCACGCGCCGGCGACCGGCCTGGCCCGACCCGACCTGACCTGACCTGCTTCATCTCGGCGATCTCGGCGTCCTTGCGCGTCACTCGGCTGCGCAGCTCCAGCAGCTGCTCGTCGCGCTCGGCCAGGTGGGCGCGACAGTCGAGGTACTTGGCCTTGAACCGCTCCTCGGACGTCTCGAGCGCGCGCAGGTCCAGAGCGTGCTTCTCCTCCAGCTTCCTGCGGTGCCGGCGGGAGGCACATTGTGGTGGGAAGCGGACGGCGGGCGTCACATTGTGATAGGCAGCGGACGTGGGCGGGTGGCGGCCCTAGCAGCTCCATACGGGCCACGCAGCCGACGCGGCAGACGCAGAAAGGTCACCTCAACATGGTGAACAGGGTTCACCACCACACGGCGAACAGAGCTCACCACCACACGGCGAACAGAGCCCACCACTACACAGCAAGCAGAGCTCACCATCATACCGCGAACAGAGCTCACCACCACACAGCAAACAGCGCTCACCCTCACACGGCGAATAGGACTCACCACCACACGGCTCACCACGACATCCACCGAGAGGTCACCTGGTCACTCGACTCCCGGCACCGAGGCCGGCCAGCGACCGTGCCCGGCCCCGGCCCAGACAGAGCGTAACCGACCTGAGCTTCTGCGCCGAGCGCTCCGCCTCGCCCTCCTCGGCGCGGCGCACCTCGCGCTCCAGCCGCTCGATCACCTCCTCCAGCCGGGCGTCACGCTCGTCCTTCAGCCGCTGCACCTCCGCCTGCAGACGGCTGACAGAGGCGCGCGGCCCAGCGTCACGCGGCGCCCCACAGGGCACACGCCGTAGTCCGGCTGCTGGGAACAACACAGCTCATACCGCGCCTGCGCTCAGGGTCACGTGAAATGATTCCTGGACTCGAGATCACGCGTCGTCAATTTTCGACTCATCGAGATCCCCGACGGGCAGCCAGAACACACTTACAGTTTACCCAGCACTGGGCGTTCAGAAGGCGTTTAGCGTTTTTAAACACTCGGGGTATCCCTTGTAAGCTGCAATCAACCGACAGCCCGTTGATTCTCCCAAAGTCCGGGCAGGTTCGGGTATGCTGGCAGTGTAGGCGTACTTATTGGCGGCCGACTCCAGTTCGTCTTTCTGTCGCTGAAGCGCTGCCTCCGTCTCCTGCCTCAGGCGTTCACGCAGGTCCTGGGTCTTTTGCTGAAATCGGACACGAAAAAGGCAATTGACACGTCACGGTATGAATTTCGAATTGTTCCGTAAACATACTACAACACAACCATAGGATGTGCAAATGTACGCACTGGTGAAACGAACCTTATAACCCCGACACCGACCTTACTGACAGAGGGGAGTATCGATTCTATTTGTACCTCTATGCAATTGAGAAAGGCACGGGAGGCTGCCTTTCGACACCGATGGACGACACCGATCTTACTTGCACAGGGCACTTATACAAGCATCAATCATAAGCACAAACGTTTACCGCATCGACCACCGCCAGCCCAGCGGCTTCAACCACAGACGCCTCAACAGTAGTAACCCCCAAGGGCGTGGGGCTGAAGATCGCTCTGCTGCCCCGCCAGCAGTACCTCCATGTTCTGCTCCATTCTCCTCCTGGTCTCTCGCATCTCTTCGTCGGCCTGGTCCCGGGCCTCCCGCACCCGCCGGTCCACCTCCCTGTCAGAGCGGCGCGCACGGGGGTCAAGAGAAGACCAATGTCAGTCCAACGGACGCCCTCCCCGATCGTAAGGAAGTACGGTGGTGCACGAGTGCCGAACGTTGTCCTGTGACTGTCAACTCTTTCCCCCATAATCGTTGATCAGACGAAGGCGACGGAAACCAACACACCGTTACGGGCAGAACTGCGCTAATACACTACACGCCATAAATAACTCACCTTTGCGTAATAGCCCAACACAGGTCAATCCGCGAAGGTGGGCGCGCAGTCGAGCCGCAACACCATCCACATCACGCAGACACCCTGGCGCGTGTCATCACCCCGACAAAAAGCAGCGGACCCCGGGGTCGGCCCAGATTGCGAACGCGTCTCACCTCTGCGCGTCCTCGCGCTGTGCGGCGGCGGCGGCGCCGGCGGCCTGCAGCTGGGCGCGCAGCTCACGCGCCTCCGCCGCCAGCCGGGCCGCCTGCGCCTCGTGCTGGGCAGTGAGCTCCGCCGCCTGCCGGCCACACCTGCGGCCAGGGCCGACGGCGCGGTCACGGCCGGGTCACCGTCATCGATGGTGTGCGGTCGGCCCCGTTTCAGTCGCTCGTGTCACCGCCAGCTGCGCAGCCGGGCCGGGCGCGAGATCTCGGCCGCCGCCAGACCGGCCGGCCCATCGCCCACTCGGCGCGGTGTGAGACGTGACGGCACTGACGGCGATGCGCCAGCCACACCGACCTCAGGTCCGTACCACACAACCGCCACAGGCGGGCCGGCCGCCGGCCACGGGACGCACGACAGGGAGCCCACGGAGCCGGCATCGAGCATGGATACCGTGAAACGAGGCGACCTCCACGTGCCACACGTGGCTGGTCCCCACGGGAGTGCCAGCTGCTGACCATCTCGTCCCACCGCTCCCGATAACCCACACCATCAATCAGTAGCAGCCCCGCGGGGCAGTCGTCAAGCCGACCTCCTGTACAGAGCCGGACGTGCGGCATGTCCAAGTAACGGTACATTGTAAACACACCATGCTGACCTCACAGCGCTGGGGACGAGGGGCGTGGCACCGCTGGCAGACTGTCTTGGCGGCGCCAGGACGTACGCGACGCAGGCATGCGGACGAACACCCAGATGAGCCGAGCGTGGCTGATGCTGATGCCAAAGGCTGGGACTATGTCCAAGGTTTATATATGCAGGCGGACCGCGCAGTTCTACGACAAAAGCCCCACAAGTGTGGGATGTATGCCACTTCTAAGGGAGTTCCACGCGTCGGAGACCAACGGTCTCCAATGCCATGCCCATGCTAGCCACAGTCAGGCTTTACTTCATCGGAGGATTCAACAACTATTTCTCGCAACGTACATTCGGCATGACTACCGAAACTACTACCAATATGCGACGACACGCTGCTCTTTGCACATTCAAACACCTAAACGCAATCCTTGTAACTTAATGCCATGTAGCATATAACAATTTTATTGGACTTTTCATCCTGTTATCATTCGCAACGCGGTACGCAACGGAAGGCGGTGAAGGCAGCTATGTGGAAAAGTTTTACTTTTCCGTTTTACTTACATCGTGACACAAAAACAAAGAAGACAGGACATCAGAACGTACGCAAACCAAAAATGAGAGACGTGTGACGAAACTCGCTTTACTGAATGCGGATGCAGATAGACAGAAGAGACGCTAAACGTCAACAGAATAAGCAGAACAGACATCAACAGAACCTAGTCGGACACACATAAAGCGCAGAGTTTGCACGGAAGACATGATACTATGGTCCGCTCCACATGAGAGCGAACCTATCTCCAACAGCACTTACGCTCCGGAAAACGGCGACGCAACCATAGACCAGCTGTGATGGATGCATAGAACACACACCGTCCGCGCGTCAGTGGGGGCGACATGGGGGGGGGGGGGGGATCAAAACTAGGGGGAGCCAAGGGAGCGCGCGTCCCATGGCACGCGTGCAGCGCAGCGCGGGGCGCTTAGTGAAGCTGCGGTAAACCGTGCTTACAGCCGCAAAAATTCAACCGGTTCAAAATTGGGAAAGATAAATGAGGTATAGACAAAGAGACCCGTTCATGCATGATACACCTGAGCTGTTGCGTAAGCCGAGAGGTAGCCGGCAGACCTCTGCTGATCCCCGGGGTCCGCTGGCTGACGTCAGCATTCCCACTCACGTGGCACAACACGACTCAGAAGTTTGGTAAGCCATACACAATCCTGCTAGCCGACGCAATGTGAATTGGCACGAGTAGCCAATCGGCTGTTCTGGAATATGTGGCCAGCGAATTTAGCTGTTAAAAAGTAATTCACGTACCTAGTCCGAGACAATCGAGGATCACGCCGTAACTACAGACCTGTTCATCACCGAGCGTGACCTGCTGCACACGCCTATTTACATCATGCGCACTACAGACAACCTGTAGAGGCGGTCTCCGTGAACAGTCAACCCCAGTGTGAAAGTGTTATCCGTGGCCCGTCCAGATGGCTCCCTTGATTAACACGTGGCGGGGTGGGCTCAAGCCACTGCAGGCGCTCGCTATTTGCTCCTTAATGGGATGGCCTGCAGTCGGTGATAGCGGTAAGGTCATCTGACCTCAGAGGGCGGGGCCGACAAAACCCAGCATTGTGGCATGTTGAACTCTCGCAAAAAGCTGCCGTTGAACTGGAATTTCCCGATCGGATGGTGGGGGCCAGGGTTCAAACAATAGACACTGCTTAACGTGGACGCTGATCCTAGAAATTCACCCGACCAAAACAGCTGGACACCGTCTTTAAAAAGGTTAATCACCGCCCTCCTGATCCAAGACATACACAGTTGGCGGAAGTATGACGCGCTTCCTTACCAAGCTCATCCGTCCCTAGAAAACCCAGGCGTGCCAACTGTCCACGACAAGCCAGGCTACTCCACCAAGACTCCGCCCCACCAGTCGGGTCAGGGCGGCCCACTCTGCCCCTGCACAGTACTCAGGCAGCAGCCACCCAGCGCGCTTTTTCTCTCTCTCTCTCTCCCGCCCGGTCGGGCCGGCTGCGCCGCCCGCCGTGCAGACAGGGGAGCATTACCTGGCTTCAGCCTCGCGGCGCTCTGCCGACACGGCCTCCTCCTTTTCCCGCACCAGGCGGCCGCGTATCTCGTCCAGCTGCGCGCTGTGACCTGCCAGCGTCAGACGGGACAGCAGCGGGGTCAGCAGGGCTCGCGGCTGGGTCACACTACCATCTGCAGCCTCCTCCACAGTTAGCAGCAGGGTTACACTGGGAAATGACACAGTCAGACGGGCAGAGAAGCGTCACCGGTAGCATTATTCTATTATCTTAGAATTATATAAGTTATAATATAACACCATTTATATAAAATCCGACTAGTGTCTCACAAAGTCAAGCAGGGTCAGCGGACGAGGTATAATTCGGGATTGCAAAACGCAGTGCACAACAGGGCCAAATGCCCTGTGTCCAAGTCAACCACAGGGACCAGACAGTTCCGAGGGGACTTACAAGACCATCCCGACTGAACGCTACTAAACGAACTTCGTGACGACGCGCCGAATAAGCTGCCAGCCGAGCCGGATGCCTGGCGCGCGCCGCACACGTCTGCACGCACCTCCGGCCAGCACGGCCTCGTAGTGCTGCTTGATGCGCGCCGTCTCCTCGGCGTGATGCCGCATCATCTGCTCTATCTGGGGCTGCACGCCGCGGGCCGTGGACTCCTGAGGGATGAGGTCACCGGTCACGCACCGCCACCTGTCTGGCACCAGCCGCTCCGGTCGCGGGACGCTAAAGCGAAGGCGAGGGCCGCATGGGGTCCCGCAGCGACGTAAGAGGACCCCGCGCGTTCTGGAGAAAACAGCTCATGACGAGGCATTTGTGAAGCGGTGGCGTACCACGAGACGAGATGACGGGGGCGCATCCGAATACTTTAAGAACAAATTGAAAATGCATCGTTAAAGTAAACATTCCATTCATGAGAACGCAGGTGCGCACTTGGACATGTGCATGTACAAAAAAGCAGCAACAACACTTTGTACAAGAGCAATTACCATCAGCAAGCACCCTGGAGCGTGGGCTCATAACACCCTCCGCCTCACCTGACGCGGATATTGGAAACAAGAGCATCCACATAAAATATACATATACATGTAGCATAGCACTTTGAAGCGAAACAACGGAAGGACATGTGCCACATCTAAAAAAGTCAGCTGCGATGTAAGCACAGCGCACGCCGCTCACTGTCCATCCTGCAGGCTCAACAGCTCTCCGTTCATGTGTTGACGGTACGCACGACAGAGACAGTGCAAGGCAGGATGAAAATACACCAAACGATGCAAACGCGTCTGCCGGTAACGACCATCGTTCGTGTACCGCGGCGCAGGCAGTGCACGTATCATGTGGTGGTCTGCTTTACCTGCCCGAAGTGCTTGCCCACCACGGAGAAGTCCTTCCGGGGAGAAGCGAAGTAATGAGATGTTCAAAGAGATAGATATCAGCACAACAGAAGATTTGTATGGATTGCTTTTGAAGAGGCGTAAAGCATGAGCATCTGAGTGAGAGGATAGATCACAGCTGGCCGTGAGCTCCCAGATAACGCAGGCTATACAGTCAGTTGAGAAAGAGACCATAGCAACTTGCAGAAAGTAAACAAAGCAACAAATGAAGAAAATGAGTATAGTCAGGGCTTTCAGTCAAATCCAGGTCCTTCATTTATCACGAAAACTAGGCACGTATGTCAGAGAACACCTTCAGTTTTCAAGCGTTCCGAAAAGGGACAAAATATGACTAGCCGCAGTACACCAGAAGTGTTTGTTTTGCGAAACGTTCCTCATTTTTTTTTTTTTTGTTGCTGACTTATTGTCATCAAATTCCCGGAAACAACAAAATTTTCCCAGAAAACACTCACTGACATCCCATTACACCGACGCGAACTGAAACCAATGCCGTTCCAGCCCGCGGCCGCTGCGCATAGTATCCCTGGGTCTATCAAGGCCTTCCTGTTCCGTGCCTGTCGTCAGGCTGACGGTGTCGGACTTAAGTTTGACACACACGACATATAACCCGAACGAACTGTTCTCATGCTCATAGGCCGGATCACTTTATCGTCTCGTGAAGATAAGGTTGTGAACACATGTAGCCTACGATCTCTGCATCGCGGTTAAAACCCCCAATCTAAACAAACTATACATGATCCTCTGAGCTCCGTTGCGCAAAATTGCTGCTCTTGCATGGGTGCGCGTGGATCGCTGGCCCACCGGTCCTTCAGCTCACCTTGATCCTCTCCCGCTCCTTCTCCATCCACTTCTGGCGTTTGGTGCGCTCGGCCTCCGACACCGTGCGCCGCGAGCTCTGCGAACGGGGAGGGGCGGCTCACCACACCGGCGGCGGACAGGGTCCTCTCGGCGGGACCCCGCGCCACTCACCGCCTGTCGAGCCGCCCCGGATCGGCCCAACGGCCGGGGCCCAGCACTGTCGCTCCGACCGGAACCGGCAGGGACACCAAGCCGCCGGCCCAGCGTCGATTCGGCTATGAAGCGCGCCGCCCAGACAGGGCACAGAGAGCAGCGTTCAGATAAACCGGCTGACGAGTCCACTGGCGGTGTGTGGCGAGCAGACGGCGAGCGGCCAGGAGGCACGCCCACCGCGTCCACGGCCGTCGTCGCAGCCGACACTGCTCCCGGCCGCGGCTCACCCGCCCGCCTGGCCGGCCCCGCCAGCACCGGTGGACGCTGACACGGGCACGGAAGGCCGCACTCGGGCTGAGACGCAGAGCGTTTCCCCCCCCCCCCCCCCCTCAGGGAGGCCAGGGCGATGGCGTCAGTGGCGATGGTGACTATGACGATCCCAGCCTTAGGCCACTGAGTGTGAACACCCGAGTGAACAAGAGTGCGCATTCCTGATCCCCTACCCGCGTCAGATCCGATCAAGCCATTCATCCGGTCCGGTCCGGATCCGGTCCGGTCCGATCCGATCCGATCCGATCCGATCCGATCCGATCCGATCCGATCCGATCGGGCCGGGCCGGGCCGGGCCAGGCCGGGTCGGGCCGAGTCGGGTCCGGCTTGACCCGACACGACTGGGCCTGTCCGACCGGGCCAGGTAGGCGGTGTGACTCGCACCTGCAGCTCGTCGCGGTGTTTCTCACGCAGCCCGGCCAGCTGCTGCTTGTGCCGGTCCTCCAGCGTGGCCACCTGCGAGACGAGTGCCTCGCAGCGGGACGCCAGGTCCTGCTTCTCCTGGATCAGCTGGGGACACCAGCACACGCGGCGATGTTAGGGGGGAGGGCTGGCAAGAACGGCAGCTGGAAACGATGATTGCTAGGCCTCGCCAGCCAGGGGTCACGGCGCTGAGAAGGTTCCATGCGCGAGGAGACCATATCTCACCGACAACGGCGTCCCATCGACTCACATTTCATTGATACATAAGGTATGGATCGGACAAAAAGTGTATCTCAGCGAAAAGGTCCAATCTGTACCTTTGAAACGTAACTGTTGGTGTAAAACGTGTTCAAGAAAGGCAGCGCACGTGGCAGCCACACACCAGAGTAGGCCGACCCGCCATGACGAGCGTAACCCCCCCCCCCCCCCCCATCGACGGCGTTTGCGCCTAGAACCCCGGCCTACAGCTTCCAACACCGAGCACTGACAGGCCGCCGCCAACACCTCAGCCCCATACGAAGCCTGCTGCCGGAGGGTGTCCAGCCTCGCCGCCCTCAGTTCCACCTCAGTCTCACGCGGAGCCTGCTGCCAGAGGGTGTCCAGCCTCGCTGGCCTCAGCCCCACCTCAGTCTCACGCGGAGCCTGCTGCCAAAGGGTGTCCAGCCTCGCTGGCCTCAGCCCCACCTCAGCCCCGCGCGGAGCCTGCTGCCGGAGGGTGTCCAGCCTCGCTGGCCTCAGCCCCACCCCAGCCCCGCGCGGAGCCTACTGCTGGAGGGTGTCCAGCCTCGCTGGCCTCAGCCCCACCCAAGCCCCACGCAGAGCGTGCTGCCGGAGCGTGTCCAGCCTCGCCGGCCTCAGGCCCACCTCGTCAATGAAGGCCAGGTAGCGCTGCGTGACGTCGTCGCGGCCGGCTGGCGCCGGCTTCTTGCCGAGCCGGGCAGGCAGCCCGGCTGCCGCAGCCCGGCCGGCCGGCACGGGACGGGATCGAGTTGGCACCGCAGAGCTGTCGGCGCGGAGGACCAGAATTCAGTAGCGCATGCGGGGATCGCGGGGATCAAGAGCTAGCTAGCTAGGGAGGGGGGGGGGGGGGGTCGCGAGACCGACACCAAACCTCGCCGCCCGGCATGCGAGTCCATTAGCGACAAGACATGCTCTGGGTTGGCGATAGCAGCAGGAAACGGGGCGGACCGCTCGCAGGCGGGTCCGTTATCCGACTGTGAGGGGGTAGATCAGATCAGCAATGCCCGAGCAGGCCGCTAGGTGGGTCAGTCCATTTCCCACCTATGGAAGGGGTTACAGGTGGACGCGTGGCGGGTCAGCCCATTACCTGGCTCTGGGGGTGATGTGGGCGGCTGAGGCCGGGGCAGCTTGCTCAGCCGCGTCTGCTTCACCCAGGCCCAGAGAGCGCATGATGTCCTGGTACACGGCTGGCCGGCTGCGAGCCGAGGTGCCCGGACTCTCTCGCCTCGCCGACTGTGAAGACACACAGACATACTGCACTGGCGATGACGGCACAGTCATGCCACAATTGAGGCTACATAATCACTAATGCTTAAGCGCTTATGAGTGTGATCATGACAACTGACATTGTCACATGCTTAGCCAAGGCTGCACAGACAATAAAAAAACATGGTTATGAAGTCAAAAAGTCTATGGGGACACACTATCCCGCAGACTTCAGGCTCATCTTTGGTACTGGGGCCACACACACACACACACGCGCGCCCACACGCACGCGCACGCGCACGCGCACGCACACGCACACACACATGCACACACACACATATGTATATATATATATATATATATATATATATATATATATATATATATATATATATATATATATATATATATATCATCATACATACATACATTACATACATCATAAACATATATCACAATTAATTGATGACTACCCTCCAGTACATCTGCTAGTCCTAAAGTTGAGGACAAGGTTAATCAAACACATTCACTGGCAATCAAGCTAGTTCACACTTCCTATTTACAGGCATACATCCCCATTGTGGAAGCTGTGTTAAGAAAGTTAATCAACCTTAAACGTTTCCAAGCAGAAAAATTCCAGAATTCCCAGAACCTAATGACCAACCTATCAATGGGCCCATCGCGAGCAAGGCACAGCCCGATGCCCTACCCCGACAGCACGGTCCGACGTCGCCTCCCCGGCTCCCATCTGCCACCGAACCTTGTCCGCCTGGCCCCGTTCGACGGTGGTCGAGGGCGCTTGTGCTTCGCGGCGGACTGGCGCGCCGGTGGCGCCCTCTCGATGTGCAGCTGGCCGACCGGGGACACTGCCGGCGGTGGCCGGTCGGCGCGGCGCCGCTGCCGCTTCGGCCACCTCGTCCGTAACCCCCGTCGATCGGATGATGTCGTCGGCCGACACCATAGGACGTGGCTGATAGGGCAGACCACACAGGTCAGAGGGCAAAAATGCACATGTTTTTGTGTAATGAGTAACATAATGCTACAAAAAAGTGGAAACTCACTAATTCCTAAAACATTATTTCTAAAAAGGTCTAACAAGGACAATTTTCCACCAATAAAAGACCGTCTTATACAGGTCCCCACAGACCTCAACACTTGATTTGGATTAACTCCTGAGTTGTTGCCACAAGAATCATCTCCATCACAATTAATTCTGAAACTATTGGGTTACTACAGAGCTGGGTTACACCCATAAGTGCTGAACTGCTTGCATACAGGCAGAATCCACCTCCATGCTATGAGTCCTTCAGGGTTGGCAGAGCAGAATCAAGCATGGGACACCTAATCTGAACTCTGAAATCTGAAGATGTCTTGGTAGCACAGTACCTCAGACATGAGAATATGCTTGCTGTGAGGAGAGGCTACAATTCCCTCCTTTTTCTGAATGGCTGGCCCTGTGTTCTTTCCATCACTGGAAACAGCACTGAATGACTGTTTGGCTGATGAAGCAGCCAGCTGAAGCTCCAGCTGCTGAATCTCTGGGTTTTCTGTATGCTTTATGTACTCTGAATACCACACTGAGTCACTAGTGATAACAGCTGGTGGTACCTCCATTGCTATTGAGTTTGTGAATGGTCAGGCTAGAACCCATCAAAGCCAAAGTTTCTCAGGGTAGTCCATATAGATGCCAACCTCCTGTAAGGTGAACAAAGCAACATACAGATGAAAGGCACATTCAGCACTAATCTTCAACAAGCCACAGAGCCCAAATGACCATGATAGGTTTCTTTATTTAAATTTTTAGACATAGGTGGATGTTGATGTGATAGAGGTCAGAAAATGAGTTGATTAGATCAGACAGCATGCATTGGCAAGGCTTTGCACATTCATATGTCATACATGCCTTAATGACATCACATACATACAAGCTGCCAACTTCAACAATTGAAGTAACAGGACTACTGAACTAGTTTCCATACCACATTTTCATCATAAATTCCTTTTTTACACTAGAAGAGCTCTGACAAGTGCAGCCATAAACAAGGATGTATGTGGAAGCCAGGTTGACAGGTGCACTTACTGCTATCACGTTATTACAGCTTAACAAAATCCAGTAATGTAATGCTTTGCTGGTTCATGATTCAATGGGCTAAGACCTTGTTTAAAAAAACACAGCTTTCCATCCGCCGAGTAAATAGCAACAGCTAATACATGTTGACATCTATTTTCCGACGTTCATGAGTACCATGAAAGAATTTGTCCTTTCAGGTAAATGGCAACCTCAGGATTGAAACAAAATTATATACAAATTGTTTCAATGCAAAACGCAGGAGACCAGTGCCAGATCCATCAAAAGTAATAACCATCCCCCGAACCACAGTCTCACAAGGGGGGGGGGGGGGGGTATGGCGAGGGGGACTGTGAATTTAGGGTATGTTATACTTCATTGGTCATAACCACCTCAAGGATGGCAATTGATGACATATGATTAAAGTTTTTGCCTTTTTCTCCTCAAAATTCTAACTTTTGAATTTAAAAGTCTTTAACAATGAATTTTCTCTATATTTTTAATAACTAATTTACAATTTTAGTTGAATTATTTTGCCACTAATATTTGATGACATCATTAAACGAACAAATCATCGGCGAGGATACGACAACCTCATCATGGCGCATTCATGCGCCAAATTTATCAGCACCGAAACTTTCGGTATGTGGATCACGGATTGTGACGGGATATTGCTTGGTCGGTGATTCGTTAGGTATGTCATATTGTCTGGCAATTCGGGCTATCTCTGCCATTATTCAGCACTCACTGTTGAATCTTGAGTGGCTTATGGGCTGCTGCTCATGTTTTTCTCCATACATGGCGATTTACCATGTGGTGAATCACATCGGGCAAAAAGTGGTTCTCGAGTTGTTTCATTGGTTTAGTTTGCTTTACCAAAGTGAACATGAAATGGGGTAAACAACGTATGATTTGTTAGTACAGAGTTGTGAGGAGCATTTGCGTATAAATTGTATCCATGAATGCTCCTATTTTTATGTAAAGTGAATGATTTGCCATCTGTAAATCATGACAAACATGAAATGATGTTTGCCACAGACATGCCACAAATGTGATAGTAAGCTGCTCCATTTTAGGCAGATCTTATTATCATTTGCCACCCTCAAAAATATCATTCAACATGATCCAAGGTCATTTGCTTTGATCTTGCCAGTTGTCTGTCACAGAAGACATTAAAATGCCCTCAATACTCAATTCATTTGTACTACCAATTCTGATAAGCTGCCCCTGATTGCAATTTCTGCCTTCCCCTGTCCTAATTAGATCTTGTTGAAAGCTGTCATGGTTTCCAGACTGGGTTGTTTGTATCCAGGCCACACAAAATAAAATTAAGGAACCAGTGAGCACAGATTATGCCACTGTATACAATTTTCTGTTGAATAATAATGTGGTTACTATAATTTCATATGAAAGCATCCCAATTGCACCTTAAAGAAATATTTTCCAACTCAGCCAGTTTGTAAAATTCAGTATGATTTAGCCTGAAATATGTTTATTGCATCATGTCCTAGGTTAAGTTCAGCAAAGTCAGTGATGCATCTAATGCACCAGGTGGATTTTTTCACATGATCAGCTTTGGTCATTATGCTTTCACACCAATCTTCCGAGAAACACATACTGCACACTGTGCTGAAACTGGAGCATGTTGTGTGCTAAATTCAGGCTAGGCCAAATTATGTCTGTTGAACCAAATTAGTATTGGTCAGTAATGTATTGGTGGCATTTTTGCCTGAAATTGTTTTGGCAACATGTTTTTCAAAATTAAGGGAAGTTACACATCAATCTCACACACCATCCAAAATGTAGAATGGCTCCTCACTGGGCTTATACTCACATGGGCTCACTGGTCTCCAAATTGGGTGCTGGCAACATAGAGTAACTACTTTCCCTCCCCCCCCCCTTACCAGAGGCCGGTATAAAGTTGTGGCCAGACGTTGATCAGGGCCTTAAATGAACAGCAGCATGGGACCAGTGATGTCCACCCAGTCACTGCAGCACACTCGTAACACACACCTGGGTGGCCAGCTGGATACCCTTTGCTTGGGTGGAGGTCAGTTTGAACCCCCTGAGATCTCAGAAACTAAGAAAACTAGGGACACCAAATTCATGGAGTGGGTTGGCCTGTACATGGACTTACATGTGTCAGAATTTGAGGTTCTTAGGCCATGAACTTCAGGTCAAATAAGGTCAAACAATGGTAGTCTCCAGATTGGTGCACAAAGTGCACCCAGGCCTTTCCATGCAATAACATGCACCTAGATTCCTGTTCTAAGCAAAATTTCACTGATGCTTATTAAAGGTTAATGATATTTGATATTTGGAAGGTCATCATGAATAAAGTAAGAAAGACTACTTTTATTTTTGCATTTGAATACATGTCAAGGATTGTACAAGGTGGATGTTCCTAAAAGCAAATACTAACCTGGGTTATTTGGGTTAGTGACCTATTCTGACCTTTAAGAAGTCCATATGATGTTTATGAGGCAGTTCCCATTTTCAATGAATTGGAAATGCCATGCAAAATTTTGCACAGCAATGCGATGCTGTTCAGAAATCATGCTGGACAGACCTCCGAGGGCCAAATTGACCCCGCAACGAAAAACCTCCGGGGATCAAGTTGACCCCATATACAGAGCATTCTTAAGCATTCCATCCAAGCCTTTGGAATGGGTGGATTTCTGGTATCTGAGTTCACACTAACCAGTGTTTGTTGTGTGAGCCCTGACCCCCACCATCCGATCGCGGAAATCCAGGTCAACGGTAAAATTTGGTGGAGAAGGTTTGGCGGGTCGCAATGTTCGGCACGGTCCGGAATAGCACCGCGCCTATCCGGCACGGTAGTTTGCTCTCTGACATCACCTGACCTTTAGCGCAGCCGATATCACCGACCGCAGGGCATATCTGTCAGGGTCAAGTAGCAAGCGCCTGAAGCGACTCGAACCCACCCCGCCGTTGGTGGGTGGATCAGAAGACAGGCCCTCTAGCCAACATAATCATCGGAACAAATATTGGCTTCCTACATTCCTCTCATTTGTGTTTTTTTGTGGTGGTGGCCGGTGCACCATGTTGAGGCCTCTCAGATTTTCAGTGTGCACATGCTGAAATCATTGCCAGCATGTCATTGCCCTGCTAGTCATGTTCAGTGAAAGCATGTGTTTTTGCATTGTGGCTAAAAACAGTGTATGAGATCAGTTGCTTATTTTCACACAGTATATTTAAGTGGGGGGGGGGTCACTGAAGTCTCTACCACCCTTTCAGAATGTATCTGCTCCTGTACCAGGCATGGATACAAAGCAAGCCTCAGTTTTGCAAAACCTCGATGTTACTGTAACACCCTCTGAGTCTTGTTTAAATGTTAAGCCATTTTCCATGGCTGGCTTTGGCCTTGACTTCGTGTGATTTTGAACAGTTCACTTTGGCTTTAGCTTTAGATCTGTAGCATTTTTAACAGCTGGATGCAGCTTTGAACAAGTTTTGATTCACGTCTATGGCTTCAACTCCATGTGAAATTGGACTGCTGGCTCTGACTCCATCAAGGCGATTATTGTACACTACAATTGCAAGTTTCCCTACAAAAACATTCTTGCCTCTCTTGTTACCATAATGTACCACACAACTTTTCAGTCAGTAGCATAGACAGCTGAAAGCAAAAACCAGGTGGTCATTCTCGGTCCCAGCCAATACCTCATTATGGCTGGAGAACTTTCTAAAACGATGTCCATAGATCAGCACACAAGATGAGGACGATGGTATGAAACATCTGTAATTCTCGTTTCAATCACTTCGCAAAACCCTGATATGTTGCGATCGCAAAGTGTTAGCAGATGCAAAAATTGTTTTGACTTCCGAAACAACATTGCTCATGATATTCGGTTGGGCGTGGTGAGTTTGAACATGCTGGTTTGACTTTGGCTTTGTGTTTACAAAGTTTGAAGCTGCTGGCTTCAGCCTCGGCTTTGCGCATACAGAGTTGGAAGCCATTGGCTGTGGATTCAGCCTTGAATATTAGGCCTATGAAAACCACTGACTTAGGCTTCTGTTTTGCAATTCCAAGCCTTAAAGCCACTGTCCATTGCTTTGAGCTCTGTCTCACGTCATTGTCTTTGCTTCAGATGCAGCTTCTAAGCCTGAGTCCTGGCCTTGTCCCCATGCCAACTCTATCAAATTCGTCTGTATCTTCATTACAAAGACAACCTCTGTGGACTAGCCATGGACAGATCATGTAGGCTGCAAGGGCCAGGATGATGTGGATATGTGTTTGAAGTAAGGGCTTCCAAGTAACTTGGCCTATCACTGGGGTATGAATTAAACGGCTCAAGTAAGGTGTCTACCTGCACGAGCCAAAAATAATCTAACCTGACCTAACCTTTCCTGTGATGGCTTCCTCCTGACATGTTAGGGTTAGGAAAAGTTGAGTTGTACATTGTTAAGTGGCTTTCATTTTTTATCTGTGTGTCAGCTACAAAATCTTACTCCCATTCAATACGAGTTGCGAATTGCACACTTGTTTATTGTAAATGCAAGACCCGATTCCAGATGCTGCAAAGGTAGGAATGCATGCAGTATTGGGCCTCTGATAGGATTTTGCTCATGAATTCCTTTCCTCTATTTTGATTGGAACTCTAAGTTGTACACCTTGGTTTTCTGTAACCAGTGGTGCATTTTCTGTGCCAGATAAGCATGTCAGATTAGTCGCCCTTTGGGCCCTCATTTGATTCGTCACCAGCCTCGGGGGTCTCACAGCTCTCATGGGAGTGATCTGGGCCCATGTGCCTCTCCCTTCTGCAGGCTGCTAGGCCCAGACTGACTACCTGCTGGCTTATTGTGCCATGTTTGCATCATGTACATATGCTGAGTATCGTTCTGGCTCAGCTGCCTTCTTACATGCCATCAGGCAATCTTGTCTGGCTTTGGTAGGCAGGAATGCAAATGAACCACTTTTGTTTCTGACAGTGATACATTGTCATGACATGTCTGTCCTTTAACAGGATGGCCAACATGTGCCAAATGGCAGTGACCTTTTCACTTCTGTATGGGCAGACAGTGAGCATGTGGTGGGACTTGCACTTATTGTCAATTGGTTATAGTCAAACTTACCAAGACTGAAAGTTGTTACAACACTGGGTAGATTATGTGATTGGGGTTAGTTGTTCTGTAAACTGGCACTTCTGGATGTAATTCTATCACAATTTAATAGAACTTGCAATCACTAACAGCTCTTGCCATACCATAAACGAGCAATTCTGGTACTGTTCTCAGGCCTCTTTTTTGTGTATCTACTGTTAACCTACTTTTGAGGTCCCACCACCATATGTGTGTATGATTCTCATATGAGCTCGAAAGGTTCTACCAAAAAGACAAGCCAACACGGTCTCAACAGGCTCTTGGAATGACATATTACTGAGACCTAACATCTGTGCGTCGCTCCTTCGTCTGCAGGGTGAGTCTGAGAAGGCGCCCAGGCATGTCGTCCCATCGGCACCGCTACAAGAACGAGGGCCTCGACTCGGCCGAGCTGCGCCGCCGCCGTGAGGAGGAGGGCGTCCAGCTGCGCAAGGAGAAGCGCGACCTACAGCTGAACAAGCGGCGCAACGTGCCGCTGCTGGACGCCGGCCTGGAGGAGCAGGCGCCGCCACTGCCGCCGCAGGTACCGGCCCGGCGGGTGGGCGCTGCTCGGCGCACGCGGCTCGTCCGGACGCCGTGAATTATAGAACGGTAGTTGAGTTTGCGATAAGTCACTAGTTTGGCTTTGTCAAAACTGAAGCTTCGGGCGGATTTACGTTTTTGCTTCTGTGCGAGCCATCTGTTCCATGTATTCGTTTTCCGGGTAAACACACAGCACTAGAGTGTGCTACTCATGAGTTAGCGGCATAATGGATGCAGCATTGCCAAGCGGGGGAAACAGGAACAGAGCTTTATGAAGGTATCAGGCTGGCGAGACCATTTGGTTTTGGAAATGTTGCATTGTTGAGGCTTTAAAGCGAGTGTTCGGATTGCTTCGGCTCCATTATGAGGAGGAGGGGGAGCAGGGCACCGCAAACAGAGCCCCCCCCCCCCCTCCCCCTCTTCCACGGCGTGCGGTGTGTGACCGGCCGCGTCCAGCCGCAGGAGGCGCCGTGCATCACGCAGGAGATGGTGGCCGCCCTGTACAGCGACGACCCGGAGCGTCAGGTGGAGGCGGCGCATCGCTGCCGTAAGCTGCTCAGCCGCGAGCCTAACCCGCCCATCGACGAGGTGATCCGTGCCGGCGTCGTGCCCCGCTTCGTGCAGCTGCTGCAGGCCGACCACCAGCGGCTGCAGGTGAGCGCCGCAAGGCCGCCGGCCGGCCGGCCGGGCGCCCGGGGCCGACCGACGGTGGGCGCCGTGGGGTCGGCGAGCGCTGACAGAGCGGGCCGGCTGTGGGCTGGCGTCACGTCCCCGACGTCGCTTGTGGCCAGGGTGGTCGGTCTCGTCCCTGAGCTCTGTCGTAGGCCGGATATGCGTGATGTTCGCCGTGCATTTGCTTGCAGCTGGTTTACCAGTTGTGCTGCGGTAGGCCTCCAGGCAGTTTCGCGGCTGCGGGCGCCGCACACCGTCGACTTACCGTTGCAATCTGTCCTAGTGGAGGTGCCTGCCCTTGTCGCCTCACATGGCTGGCCAGACCCGACTGGCCAGACCTGGCTGACCTGACCTGGCTGACCTGACCCAGCCGACCTGACACTGCTGGCCTACCCAGCTGACCTGACATGGCTACCCTGACCCAGTTGATTGACCTGGCTGATGACCCAGCTGATCTGACATGGCTGTCCTGATCTGGCTGACCTGATCCAACTGATCTGATGTGGCTGACCTGATCCAGCTGACCTGACAGCTGCCATGATCCAGTTGATTGACCCAGCTGACCTGACATGGCTACCCTAACCCAGTTGATTGACCCAGCTGACGACTCAGCTGATCTGACACGGCTGACCTGACCTAGCTGATCTGATACAGCTGACCTGACCCGGTTGATTGACCCGACTGACCTGACATGGCTTCCTTGACCCAGTTGCTTGACTCGGCTGACCTGACACAGCTGACCTGACCCAGTTGACTGACCTGGCTGACGACCCGGCTGATCTGACACAGCTGGCCTGACCGGCTGCCTCCGCCAGTCGGCACCGTCCTCCTCGCCGGCCCGGGACGCTGCTCGCCTGACCGCCCCCCCCCCCCCCCTCCCACCTCCTGCCGGCAGTTCGAGGCGGCCTGGGCGCTCACCAACGTGGCGTCGGGTTCGTCACCGCAGACCCGCTGCGTGGTGGACGCCGGCGCTGTGCCGGTGCTCATCGGCCTGTTGCGCTCGCCGCACGAGGAGGTGCGCGACCAGGCCGTCTGGGCGCTGGGCAACGTGGCCGGCGACTCGCCGCAGTTCCGCGACTACACGCTCGAGCAGGGCCTGCTGGCGCCGCTCATCCAGTGAGTGATCGCGCGGCTGCTGCCGGCGGCTCGGGGGTGCTGGGTGCGGTCGCAGCGGTCTCGGTGCTGGGGGCGAGTTTTGAACGCTGCGGCGGAGGTGGGACGGTTCTTGTGAATGCTGTGCGCTTTAACAGCATTCAGCGCCGTACACTTTGCTGTGCACAATGCCACACACTATGCCGCACGCCTGGAGGTAGATTAGCGGATTTGTACGTGTTGTTTATGTCACAGAACATCCCCCCTCCCCATTATAGTTGTTACCCGTTGGTGTTCGCTTTTTATAGACATTTGATGACATTTTTACAGCCATGGCTTTGGAGTAAATGTCCTTGGTACGTGAAGCGTGTCGCGGAACCTGACCCCGTCGCTCAATAGGTCAACTCCTTTGGAACGGATGTTTCTCTGCTGACAAATTGTGACGTACCATGCACTGTCATGACACAGCACCCATCTGACTCGCTTATGGACGAGCGACAGTAGACCGTGAGCCAAATGGTCGGGCAGTTTCCGTGTCGTGCTCAGCGCTGTTAGCAACGCGGGTACGACCTACACGAGGACGCACGAACTGTTAACGTAAGGCTCCACCCTGCAGCAAGTTAGGGTGGAGTCCTGGGAGCGGCTCCACCCTAGCGTGCTGCCTCGTGTGCGGCAGCAAGCTAGCGGCCACGTGTGGTCTCTGCGCTGCCCTGCCCTGCCCTGCCCTGCCCTGCCCTGCCCTGCCCTGCCCTGCCCTGCCCTGCCCCGTCCTGTCCTGCCCTGCCCTGCCCTGCCCTGCCCTGGTCTGACCTGTCCTGACCTGGCCTGATCTGACTCGGTTTTGTCGCTGACCCGCTGCTGTAGTGCAGAGTCCTCTCCGTCTTCATGCTGCTGACCTTGTCTCACCTGGCTGGTCACCACCCTGTCTGCGGGACTTTGTCCTGGTCTTCGCTGCTGACGTCAGCTGACCTGGCCGGGCCCCGCCCCGCCGCCGGAACTCTGTCCTGGTCTCCGTTGCTGACGTCAGCTGACCTGGCCGGGCCCCGCTCCGCCGCCGAAACTCCGTCCTGGTCTCCGTTGCTGACGTCAGCTGACCTGGCCGGGCCCCGCCCCGCCGCCGGAACTCTGCCCTGGTCTCCGCTGCTGACGTCAGCTGACCTGGTCGGTCTCCGCTGCGCCGGTGGGACTCTGTCCTGGTCTCCGTTGCTGACGTCAGCTGACCTGGCCTGCTCCGCTCCTCCGCCGGGACTTTGTCCGGATCCCCGTTGTTGACCTCACCTAACCTGGCCGGGCCCCGCTCCGCCGCCAGGATCCTGTCCGGACCAACACTGCGCCTCTCGCTGAAGCGCAACGCCGTGTGGACGCTGAGCAACCTGTGCCGCGGCAAGAACCCGCCGCCCGACTTCAGCCGCGTGGCGCCGTGCCTGCCGCTGCTGGCGGGCCTGCTGGCCGACGCCGACGCAGAGGTGCTGGCTGACGCGTGCTGGGCGCTCGGCTACCTCTCGGACGGACCCAACAACAAGATCCAGGGGGTCATCGACGCCGGCGTCTGCCGACGTCTGGTGGAGCTGTTGCTGTGAGTGGCGCGCCCGCCGGCGGCGGCGGCCCGACGGTGGCCGAGCGACGGGCGAAGGCACACGCTTACGAGTGGTGGCCCATGCGTTGATGTCTGGAATGTGCCTGTCGTTTGTCGTGTCGGCCGCCGATTCCCAAGTCGTGGATGGGATTCACGTGCGCATGAAATCAACGCATTTATGTCCATGCATGGATTGTCGTTGATTCTCCTCGCTGAGCCTGCCGATAAGGCTGCAGCTGACTTCGGGCCGTGTGTGCCGTCCGTCGCTCGCTGGAGGATTGCGGGGGTCAGCCGGGCGCGCCGCGGGACACCTGGCGCCGGCCCAGCCCCTGGCCGCCGCCGCTGCGCTCCTGGTGACCTGACGCCGACGGCTGCAGGCACAGCGAGCAGCGCGTGGTGAGCGCGGCCCTGCGAGCGGTGGGCAACATAGCCACCGGCGACGACCACCAGACGCAGGCGATCCTCAACTGCCAGGCGCTGCCCTGCCTCCTGCACCTGCTCGGCTCTGCCAAGGAGAACATCCGCAAGGAGGCCTGCTGGACCATCAGCAACATCACGGCTGGCAACCAGCCGCAGATCCAGGTGCGTGTGGCAGAACGGTCCGCGAGGCCTTCAGCAACGCCACGGCTGGTGGCATGACCCAGGCCCAGGTGTCAGGAGGCTTGCTTCACCGTCGGCAGCATCATGCCCGGAACAAGGCCCAGGTGGAGAACACCATCGAAGTGGGTGTGTCCCCAGATAGCGTTCCAAGCAGGATCCGGATGTTCCACTGAATTGTCGGGAAGCTGGGTCGGACCCCTGCGCCTGTGAGGGTGACGGAGTGTGTGAGGGCTCTAGGCTGCCACGAGTCGGACGCAAGCCCCTGTGACCAATGAGCAGCTCTGCATTGTTCTTGGAGCACGGTGTTCTGTTGGCAGTCAGCGGCTGTGGCCAAATATGATCAAACCTCTGACCATCGCCACCCTGGAGGCGTTGCGTAAGCAGGCGATGTCGCTAGGGCAGATGCGCCCATTGTCATATGAATATCTTGGAGTTGCTGGATGAACTGGGGACGTGTCGGTGCCACGAACTTTGATTACTCGATAAACCATTTCCAGTCTGCCGCCGCTGCTCGAGGGACGGTCGGAAGCTGTTTCAGCACTAGTCAGCCATGAAAGTCGGATTCCCCGCCTACCGTTGCTGTGTTCTCAGGCCCTACTTTTAAGTGTTTCAGACTGGACTTTGGTGCTGTTGCAGACGCCATAGCTGAGTGTCACGTTTACGTGTGCGTGTGTTGCAGACGCCATAGCTGAGTCTGTCACATGTACGTGTGTGTGCTTCAGACGCCATAGCTGAGTCTCACGTGTACGCGTGTGTGCTGCAGGCAGTGATTGAGGCCCAGATATTCCCGGCGCTCGTCGAGATTGTCTGGACGTCCGAGTTCCGCACGCGCAAGGAGGCCGTATGGGCCATCACCAACGCCACCACGGGCGGCACGGCCGACCAGGTCAAGTACCTGGTGCAGCAGGTGGGTGGGGTCACCCGGCCCGACAGCGGAGGCAGGGGAGAGGGCGGGGTTGATGCTGAGGTTGAGGCTGAGGCTGAGGCTGAGGCTGAGGCTGAGGCTGAGGCTGAGGCTGAGGCTGAGGCTGAGGCTGAGGCTGAGGCTGAGGCTGAGGCTGAGGCTGAGGCTTAGGTTAGGGTGAGGTGAGGGTTAGTTTCGTAACTTGAGCGACGTGGCCTCGATTGCCGCCTGCCTGGGTGGCGGCACTCCGCGTCCCTCTACGATTTCGTCTATTTTGGTGGCAAGTTGGCCGAGAGCTGTTGAAGGATGTTTCCTGGTATGCTGTACGGGATGCAATGTCCTTATCAAATGCATTCCATAATATTCATGGGAATCATATTTATGGGAATATTATGGAATGCATTTGATAAAGACATTGCATCCCGCACATCATACCAGGAAACATCCTTCAACAGCTCTCGGCCAACTCGCCACCAAAATAGACGAAATCGTAGAGGGACGCGGAGTGCCGCCACCCAGGCAGGTGCCAATCGAGGCCACGTCGCTCAAGTTACGAAACTCACCCTCACCTCACCCTCAGCGGCCGAGTAGCTGCCTACGAATTGCATCGATCGGAAGTAGATGGGGATTGTGACCATTCATTCGGTGCCATCTGCAAGTCTATCGTCCCCCCCCCTCGACAGCGGCTCGCTGTCTCTCCCTCAACAGCGCCTCGCTATCCCTCCTTCGACAGCGGCTCGCTGTCTCTCCCTTGACAGCGGCTCGCTGTCCCTCTCTCGACAGCGTCTTCGACAGCGGCTCTCTGTCCCTCCCTCGACAGCGCCTCGCTGCCCCTCCCTCGACGGCGGCTCGCTGTTCCTCCCTCGACAGCGCCTCGCTGTCTTTCTCGACAGCGCCTCGCTGTCTCTTTCTCGACAGCGCCTCGCTATCCCTCACTCGACAGCAGCTCGCTGTCCCTCCCTCGACAGCGGCTCGCTGTCCCTCTCTCGACAGCGGCTCGCTGTCCCTCCCTCGACAGCGGCTCGCTGTCCCTCCCTCTACAGCGGCTCGCTGTCCCTCTCTCGACAGCGGCTCGCTGTCCCTCCCTCGACAGCGCCTCGCTGTCCCTCCCCCGACAGCGGCTCGCTGTCCCTCCCTCGGCAGTGGCTCGCTGTCCCTCCCTCGACAGCGCCCCGCTGCTCTTCCCTCGACAGCGCCTCGCTGCCCCTCCCTTATCTGGCGTGACGCTCTGCCCTGCCTCCCGCAGCAATGCATCCAGGCTCTGTGCCAGATACTAGGCGTGATGGACCAGAAGATCACGCAGGTAGCGCTGAACGGGCTCGAGAACATCCTCAAAGTGGGAGAGGCCGAGGCTAAGATGTCCGGCCAGAACCCGTTCGCCCTCATAGTGGAGGAGTGCTGCGGTGAGTGGGGTCCCCTCTGGCCAGTGCCGGCGCCGGCTCCGAGAGACCGGGACAGGCAGTCGGGCAGGTCAGCGGGCCTGCAGGGCGAGGCTGGGGGGGGGGGGGGGAGGGGGTGTCTAGGTTGTCCGGCTCTCAGATCTGTCGGCTGGGTCGGGACTGAAGCTGATGAGACCGAGTGGGTCAGAAACCGAGGTGGTCAATCGCCTGTAGATCACTATGCGTTGGCCCGCGCACGTGCGCAGTGATAGCGTTCAATTTCCTCGAAGTAACATTCCGTGTGAAGAGCGTCCGGTGCATGACACGAATTCCACGCGCGTCCTGCACATCGGGGGCCACGCCGCTCCGACGTTTGCGTGGCGTCACTGCCGCGGACGCTTATGTGGCGTCCAGCTCGCTCTGACCGACCAGCACCGGCCGCAGGGTTGGACAAGATCGAGGCGCTGCAGACGAGCACCAACCAGGAGATCTACCAAAAGGCGTTCGACCTGGTCGAGACCTACTTCGGGAGCGACGAGGAGACGTCGGGCATGGCGGCGCCCGAGCTCGACGCGAGCGGCGAGTACCGCATGAGCGCCGGCGAGCAGCACATCCAGTTCTAGAGCGCCCGCCGCCGGACGGCCGCCCCGCCGCGGGCGGCGCGGACGGCGGCCGCCGCTGTGCCGGCCGCCCAGGCGGGAGTCGGCTGCCATCGCCTTCGGACCGCAGACGAACCGGCGAACCGGCCGACGGACTGCAGGTGGACAGCGGACTCAGCGGCGGCTGCTGTGGCCGTGCACGTCCAGTAGAGCCCGGTCTTAATTCGACTCTGGCGTTGCGCTACCGGTCGCTGACTCCGCAGCGAACAGCATGCTGCGACGTCATACTGGCCGCCTGACGAGGGGTGACATCACATCCTCTACGACGTCTCGGGTGACGTCTCGGGGAAGGCTGGGCGGTGTGACGTCCCGGCGGCTGCGGAGCCCGGCCCCGGCCCCGGCCGCGGCCCCGGTCACGGACGGGACGGCGCCGCGCCGTCAGGCCCCGTGCACTGGCTGACTTCGACTCACGGGTGGACAGGGGCTGGGTGAGCGCGACCCAGGCCCCCGACTGAACTTCCTACCTGCCGGACAACCCGCATCTTTCGAAACGGACTGTGATACACCAAGTGTGCGTGTTCCGACATGTGCACGTGCAGGGAAGGCGCCGCGCCCTGCCTGTCTGTCAGCTGTGTTTGATGTGGGAGACACCGGATCACTGACTCTTTGGGCAGACCGCGGCGTGCCGGTTTTTGTGACGACGTTTAACGAGGATGACTGCGGAAGAACATGTACGAACGCAGGTCGGGAACGGGGTGGAACGAGTGGTTGTTTGGTCGTACTCATCTGTTGGCGTATTTGCTGTGCGCACGTGATCTGTGTTATCGCTCATTTGGGACTGTGTGCACGTGGCTAGCTAATTATGATGCTGCATTGCACGATGGCTGCAATTGGTTCGCAGTGCGTTTGCCTGCATGAGCTTTACTTTTAAACGCGATGGCTGAGGCGACCCAAGACTTGAGCTGCAGACTGCAAGACTGTTCGTGAGCTCAGACGTTTGCGTAGGACACTATTTGCCCTGAGTTCCGTCGACGTGGTCGCAGGCGACCCCGGATGCCTACCAGCAGCTTGTGCTAACTGTGTAACGCCTGTTATCCGTGGAGACATCCTAAGAGTATATATGATCTTACTCGTGTGGATTTGCCGTGTGAATAGAAGAGTGTTCGTACCGGGGTGATTGCGGTATTTGGCGGCGCGAACCGACTGATGGGGATGTGGGACGATGTAGTGGCAGCGAACCTCAGGTGCTACGTCAGGGCGAAGAGAATAAGACGTTGAGCACTCGTCGGTCGGAGACGAGCCGCTCCGTGTGGCAGACCTGAGTAAGCTCGGGGCTATGAAGCGCCGTGAGGACTGGAGAGTGGGCTCGGCGCTGTGGAGCGCCATAAGGACTGGGGGGTGGGCTCGGCGCTGTGAAGCGCCGTGAGGACTGGGGAGTGGGCCCGGCGCTGTGAAGCGCCGTGATGACTGGAGTGGGCCCGGCGCTGTGAAGCGCCGTGATGACTGGGGAGTGGGCTCGGCGCTGTGAAGCGCCGTGAGGACTGGGGAGTGGGCCCGGCGCTGTGAAGCGCCGTGATGACTGGAGTGGGCTCGGCGCTGTGGAGCGCTGTGAGGACTGGGGAGTGGGCTCGGCGCTGTGGAGCGCCACGGGGACTGGGGATTGGGCTCGGCGCTGTGGAGCGCCACGAGGACTGGGGAGTGGGGAGTGGACTGGACGCCTTGGAGTGCCGTGAGGACTGGTTCGTCACGAACCGCTCTGTGTGGCAAACCTGAATGAACTCTGTCGTACCATTATTAGGCGTACCATTGTCTGTTCTGGCGTGGCGGAGCGCCGTGAGGACTAGGGAGTGGGTTCGGCGTTGTAGAGCGCTGTAAGGACTGGGGAGTGGACTGGGCGCCGTGGAGTGCCGTGAGGACTGGGTCGTCAAGAGCCGCTCTGTGTGGCAACATGAATGAGGTCGGCACCGGGGACGGCCGTGAGAACTGGGGAGTGAGTTTGGCATGGTAGAGCGCTTTAAGGACTGGGGAGTGAACTCGGCGCTGGTGAAGGCCGTGAGAACTGGGGAGTGAGTTTGGCATGGTAGAACGCTTTAAGGACTGGGGAGTGAACTCGGCGCCGGGGAGGGCCGTGAGAACTGGGGAGTGAGTTTGGCATGGTAGAGCGCTTTAAGGACTGGGGAGTGAACTCGGCGCCGGGGAGGGCCGTGAGAACTGGGGAGTGAGTTTGGGATGGTAGAGCGCTTTAAGGACTGGGGAGTGAACTCGGCGCCGGGGAGGGCCGTGAGAACTGGGGAGTGAGTTTGGCATGGTAGAGCGCTTTAAGGACTGGGGAGTGAACTCGGCGCCGGGGAGTGCCGTGAGGACTGGGTCGTCACGGGAGCGGGATGCAGTCAAGTTGGGCAGGTGGGGTGCTTACCACCTGGCGGCAGGGATTTAAAAAAAAAACTTCAGGTGGCCGCCGCTGGGCTCGCCAGCGTCGCCAGCTCTGTGGCCGTTGAAAATGAAGGCCTACGTGGCTGTGGTCCGCCAGACCGGGGGTGATTTCGTTTGGTTCGCCGAGGCCGTGGGCCGCTGGTCATTGCTCCTGTGGGACGCGAGCGCGCAGCGAGTCGGGAAAATACTGACGCGACGTCCGACACTGCCGCCGTCCTCACTGGTCCCTGGACCGTGACAACTGCACTGGAGTACGCACGATCTCCTGCCGGCTGGCCTGGCCGGGGATAACGTGATGCCAGTCGTCCGCGGTGTGGGCGCAGTTCTGGGCTGAATGTGGGCCTGGCTGCCGAACTGTGATGCGCTAGAGGCCCGGCGACGAAAGCCGGCCGTGTTTTGGCGGTTGTTCCAGCTGCGGTCGACGCAAGAGAGGCATGATCACAGTGACCGTGATGTTGCATGCGTTTAAGAACGGATGCAGCCCGCCGTGTCAGTCCTCTGTCGGTCCGAGGACGAATGATGGAGCAACTGGTGGCAGTGGCGAAGGTACTGCTATGCCCTGGCTGCCATGGTGGCTTACCGGGCCGGCCACCATCACGTGGTGCTGGCCCAGGGGCGAGTGCATCGTCAGATCGGGCAGGAGTGTGGAATTTTAATATTTTGTGCTCACTTTAAGGCAAGTACAAATGTGGGTTTTCCACCATCTTGGGAGAGGCCACGGCCCCGTTCCGTTACGCTCTGCATACGGGCAGCATCATGACAACCATGGTCATTGTTTCATTTGTACATATTGACCAAATAGTAGTTTAAGCATTGGCTTATAACGACCGGATAAGAGAATCCGTCTTACAACATCACGGTATCTCAGTCCTGTCCCTCGTCTGTCCGTCTGGAGCCAGGAAAATCCTGAATAACCCATTTTCCCCGTCCGATTTCGCACGGCTGGTGATCTCTCCCCCGCTCGGCGGGGGACGTGACGACCCTCCAGACCCCCACCTGGCCGTCCGCGACTACCTGTCTGCCCGCCACCCTTCCCCTCCCCCGCTGTCGCGGCCCCTCCATTCCTCATATCGCCGGCTGCCATCGGCGCATTAGGCGTACCGGCCGGCCGCCCGATAGTTCGCCGCCCCGCCGCCAGGGGAGTACCACGGCCACGCAGCGGCCGCGGTTGGCGCGCGCCGCTGCGCGGCCGGCAAGCATGGACCCGCTCCCGGGGAGGTCCGGCCAGGCCAGCACGCCGGCCGCACGCCTGTCTGAGCCATCCGTGTTTTGAAGGCTTTTGAAGGTGCGCAACCGGACATCTTGACGGCATCTTAAATGGATCAATTGATCAAGCGTCGGGTGCTCCTTGTGGCGCATGGCTGCTGTTGTGATTGGTTTTGGTCGAGTTTGCAATGCCAGGTCTTATCGACTTTCTTCACGTGGGGCTGAGCACGTTGGTAATACCACTCATAGGGCGCTCTTGCGCAGCTTGGAACGAGCGAGGTGGTGGAAGCCTGATGATTCGGAGAACACGTGCAAATGTGTGTTATGAATGCTGTGGAGAATGCCTCTTTCATGACGGTTTAACAGGCAACAGCCAAGAACCTCATCACCATCGATTACCAAAGTGTTTATGAAACGAAAAGCATTGGCATCGCTTCGTGAACTGATGCAGTTGTGATTTCCTGCATCGTGGAGTTGATCCTGCGTCTTTACTTGCTCTCACCGCGATAGCTTGACATGATTCCGTAAAAGACACTTAGAAGATAGATCAATGGTTTGCGTTTGAGCATGAGAGACCGGCTGCGCGCACCCACAACATGGCCGATACAATTTTCGGTTTCCACTTTCATAGCATGGCTTCGGTCCGGTTTTTCGGTCGCTTACATCTTTGTTGCACTTTTGGTACGAAGCTCACTCCGCCCTCTTGATGTCAGTCGTATAGGTAATACTATATTTTTTGGTACGAAGCTCACTCCACCCTCTTGATGTCAGTCGTGTGAGTAATGCTATATTTTTTGGTACGAGAGGCTTACTCCGCCCTCTTGATGTCAGTCGTGTGGGTAATGCTGTATTTTGTTCGCAACGCAATGTAGGGAAATGCAGGGAAATCACACTCGAGCGGATAGGCTGTGTACAAATACCTGGCAATTCGTGTTGTGCTGATGTCAAAGAATTCGCCTTTTTGGTCGCTGAAAACGATGTGATGCTGCTATCGGTGATTATTAATGCAATGGCTCCTGGGAAGCCGCGCGGGTTAGATTCCTCAAATACGAACATTGCTCACCGTTCAGTAAGACATGCTCGGCACGTGACCGCTCATAATCGTTATGGGCGAAGGATTACAACTTTAAAAAATACAAATATCTTTTTAAAATCTGTAGAGGGGACGGGCTCAGCCAGTAGGTTATGGTAAGAATGAAAAATGATTCACAAGTTATCCCCAAATCTGATTTTCCCGGACTTCGGCCACTTTTGCTTCCCTGATAGGAAGGATTAAAACGACCTTTAACAAGAATCGGCCGATTAAAGATTGTTTCATAAAGGAGTGACTTTCCAATTCAAGCCCACGTGAAACTGCAGCTTTCTGAGAAGCTCAGGGTGAGGATAATTCACAGAAGGCACCGTAGCCAGACAGTCCGATCTGATCACCGGAAACTGGTCGCGTTTGTCGGTGGAAAGTGGTCCGAGGCGCACAAATATAATTTTGTACAGTATGGCGTGACCTGACGCGCGTAGACTAGAAAAAAGCGTGCGTGATACACTTTTTGTGGAGGGGCTGCGGACAATGTATCATGTCGTTACAAGCAAGCGCCTCCACGTAAAATTGAAACCGAACTTGCACAACCTCAATAGACATGTCGATGGCTTGAAGGGCAGAGTAGGTGAAGGCTGGTTACCGGATGGGTCACCATAATAGCCATCTTATTAAATAGCGCTACCAGCGTGCTGATCGGGTTTGAAGTTGATTTAAGCAAGAAGAGCTTTGCACTCGTGATGGCTCAGCAAGAAGAACTTTGCGCTCGTGATGTTTCAGCAAGAAAAGCCTTGCACTCGTGATGTTTCAGCAAGAAGAGCCTTGCGCTCGTGATGTTTCAGCAAGGAGGGCCTTGCACTCGCGGTGTTTCAGCAAGAAGAGCCTTGCGCTCGCGATGTTTCAGCAAGAATAGTCTTGCGCTCCTGATGTTTCAGCATTATGAATTGGGAGTTCGCTGAGAATAGTTGCTAATAGAATTGGTAGGTACTGCATTCGGGAACAAGCGCAACGCGATGAAATGCACATGTATGATTTTGCGATAGACACGTAGTTCTCTATACGATGTTTAGCCCACGCATGCATTTGGAAACGAAAGCTTTCACACGAAAATTCGTCAACAATTATTCGCGATAAGGGGACAAACTGTGCAGATTTCTTTTATCAAGGCTGAGGAATATCTAGCTTTGTAAACGTCATTCATAACATTGGTTGTTGACATTTTATCACAAAATGCATTGCAACAGCAAACGGTAACGGCAAGGTTTTACAGGGTGTACCTGAACTCCCTTATCAAGCAATTAAAAATAAATGATAATTTTTTTTCTTACTTGAACTGTGAGATTGGGATTTAACCGCGCCATTGCATTGCGTCATCACCACGATGCCAGCTTCTCGATTTGATGAACATGGGAAGGACCAAAAATTTCAAATCGTGAAAAATTGAAGCACGTGAGTCCAAACCATGTTCAGACATCAACATCGGCGAGCTATACGGT